TTAGCCTTAATTCGTATTTGCCACGAATTCTATTTAATCCATAGAAACCACTAAATAGATAGATAATTATTGTAAACAACTATTTATGAATGAAAGTTTTTACAAAGTTATTTGTACATAGCCAAACAGCTGGATCGCGCGTTCGCTCATACGCAGTTGCCGTTTATGCATGCATGTTATACAGAAGCTATGTAAAATAACATGTATTTGTTCTACATGTATAAAGATAATTATATTGAAGTTTACACACATTCTATATTGAACAAATCTTGGTTAAATTTGATTTGATTTCAAACTTGGACAAATACAGTACGTACGGTTCCACTTGCTATCACACAGAACGGAGACACAGCGAGCGCTTTATGACCTTTGGCAAAAGTTCACTCCCGAATCTCGCGCATGCTCAATGCGTAACAACGAACTGGCCTTTTTACTAGTTTTTTTACTGGCTTTTTAAAACTGGCGATTTTAGTTGTTGAGCTAGTGGCAAAGTGTTTATAAATATTCTCAAAGATAAAATGTTTGCATAAACCATAGCATAAACAAAGATCCCCTGCGAATTACGCGTGTCATTTTGAATTGAATAATGGTAATTGGACCAGAGAATTTTGTACGAACTACGAATTACAGAATACTAATTATACAACGGAAAAGAAGAGAAAAAGAAAACGACGGACGACGAAGGAAAAAGACGGATAAAGAAGAGAAATATTGGGACCATATGTTTTTGTACGAATTAGTCATTCTACGAATAACGTGATGACGGATTAAGCGAGGTTGACTGTATGATCTTCCCAGTAAGTTAGATGTAGATTACACTATATCTTGGCACATTAGGAATTCGTATAAGTAATCGACTTTTATATAGTACTGCTTTTTAAGGACATAGTAAGTTAAAACTTTATTCTCATCAGGGTCTACATAGAAACCTGCGCTTTCTACATTCACACACGCACGCACGCACACGTGCACAATCACGCTCACGCGGATAAACAACGCACACACACACGCACGCCGGCACCAGGGGTACCATGAATACGCATGTTCTACACAGATATCCTATAACAAAACTAGTATAATTGGTTGATATTGGCGTGGGCTGGCGTTCAAGTTTTAATTTGAGTTTTTATGCGTATATTAAAACTAAATGTTTAAGAGCTGCGCGCGTATGTAGTACGTGTGTACGAGTTGTTACACACGCATGCGTGCGTGCACGTACACGCGTGCGGTTATGTGCATCTGTGCACGGCAGATACACTCACGTGCACCTGTTGCGCATGCGCGCGTGCACTTAAGGAGCTCGGCTGCACGATCTTGAACAAACCCAATGCCCTCGTGGCAACACCGGCATCCTGACTCTGTGACTGTGCACGAGTCTTTGCGCCTGTGCGTGCCGTGCCTAGGCTTTTATGCCACAGAGTCGTGTTAGCTTCCTTGCCTGACTCGCAGTGTTGTTATTACAATAATCCGTGATTTCTGTCTGCACGGTGGGGTTGTTGTTATTGTTGTTGTTGTTGTTGTTGTTGTTGTTGTTGTTGCTGTTGTTGTTGTTGTTGTTGTTGTTGTTGTTGCTGTTGTTGTTGTTTGTTCTGCTGTTTCTTGTTGGCGGCGGCAACGGAGAGGAGAAGAGGAAGAAGAGAAGGATGTTGGGGATGCGGATGAGGATCAGTGAGTGGGAGACGGGTGAGCAGCAATGATTAGGGTTGGCTTTACGGCTGCATAATTCCTTTCTCGTGTTTTCCTGTCTCGATTTTTGTTAGACTCGTCGTCTGTCGTAAAATATTAGTGCATCTAGCCGGGCGGTCGGGTTAGGAAAATCTTGGCTCGCTCTCTTCTCTCTCTCTCTCTCCATCTCTCTCTCTCGGTCGCTCGCTCGCTCTCTTTCTATATCTCACTCTCTTTCTATATATATATATCTCTCACTCTCTCTCTCTCTATCTCTATCTCGCGCGCCCCCTCTCTCTTTCTCTCTCTCTCTCTCTCTCTCTCCCTCTCTCTCTCTCTCTCTTTTTCTCTCTCTCTCTCTCTCTCTCTGTCTCTCTTTCTATATATCTCTCTCACTCTCTCTCTGTCTCTCTCTCTCTCTCTCTCTCTCTCTCTCTCTCTCTCTCTCTCTCTCTC